CGCTGACCGACTGCTCGATGACCGACTGCTCGATGACCGATTGCTCGATGACCGATTGCTCGATGACCGACTGTTCGACGACCGACTGCTCGACGACCGTGAACTGACCTGAGTGTGTTCTCTATGTAAGTAGGTATGATGGCGTTGCCCGTATATATAACACGAACCTGCTGTATATTGTGTAAGTGAATGTCCTCTGCCTAGGCAGTTTGTACATAGCGATGCCCGTTTTACGACTTGAAAGCGTTTCGTTGCTGATTTAGCTTTGAAGACCTTGCAGTGTTTTATTTCATGGGATCTTTTGCAGATCGGACACACCAACGTCTTGCTGGTTGTAGTGATGGTTGTAGAATGGTCGCCCTTGCGGTACGTTTTGTCGGTGCCGATGATATTTGTGGGTTGACCCTTTTGTCTCCTTTATTTTAGAGAGGAGTTGATTTCCGTTTGCCCGTGTTTGCAGAAAATCCATCAGATGTTTGTAAGAGTGCATTCTTTTGCTTGGTAATGTGCGCTGCCACTTACGCATGCTGGACGAAGGTAATTTCAACGCGAGCAACTCGATAATCACCACATTTGATGTAACAGGCTCGCCTAATTTTACGACCCCTTTGAGATTTACGTTGACTGTTTCCAACAAATCCTCTATGACTTCTGGAGTTTTCTTCTTTATTTCGGGATAATTGCGCATCAACTCCCAATGACGCATACAGATCCTCAGGTGATAGTCAAATTTCTCCTTCAGCGTGTTAAGAGCGATCGAGTAATTGACCTCTGTGAGTTCCAACGACTGAATACTCCGTGCGGCCCTCCCACTTAGGGATGATCGAAGATGTTGGAACTTTTGGACCGTTGTTAAATGTTCATTGCGGTCCTCTGTGGATGAGAATGTGTCATAGAAATAGTTCCAGTCTTCGAGGGCACCGTCAAACTCAGGCAAGCGCACTTTTGATAATTTGATAGGTATCGGCTCGGGTTTCATGCATGAATCGCGTGTTTTTGGTGTCGAATGACTTGTTGGTTGTAGTTGGTCAAGGTGGTCTAGTTCGTCAAGGAGGTTCGTGTGTCAATGTCATTATATTCTTACGTTAAAGAGACGGCACGATCAGTTTCCTCCTGATCTAACGCTTGTAATTCGTCTTGAACCGCGATTATCTTACTCCAATTCTCGTCGAACGTTTTGCGGCAAGATATGAGGTACACTGTTGAGTATGTATAAATCGCAGATGAGTTGGCGCACGAAGATACGATAGCTTTGCACAATAGAGCAAGGCTCTTACGGTTGAATTTATTATGTTAGTGGACGTAGCACTAGAGGATACATAATAGAGGAAATGAATGTTCGATAATCCCGAGAACCGAATTAGATAGATGACGTGAGTTAGACTAACTTGTCGCTCTTATGTTAATACGGAAGAAAGTTCGGTGTGGGTGTGCCCTTTGAATGAAGAACGCGGATTCATTGTTCACACTTTTCGTTAGGGAAAGTGAGGGTAACGATCCGCGATGTCGATTGGTTGTGGCCCACGTTGATACTTGAAGGTATGAAGAGGAAGTCTCCTACTAACGTGGTTCGTGGGTGACCTTGTTCATGGGAAAAACCATCTTTTCCGACCGAAAAACCGAATAGCTTTTATTAGACAGCTATTCGGTTTTTCCCAATAGGTGCATACCCGCTTCCTCCGTGTCTTTAAAAGCGCCTAATAAACCCAAGGACCTCTCTAAAATCCAGATGTGGGCCGAAAATACTTTTAGGCCTAAGAAATCCTTCAGGACAAACGGATTGACTGAAGATACATGTTGGTAGAATGAAACGAAAAGTGAAAGGTTATGGTGGGTTCTTAGATTTATTGAGGGTCGGAGTGACTACACGCCGACCGTTAGCTGCCCGGTCGCGAGGGCTGGAGTGCAGATGTCTTATCTGTACATAATACTTGTTGTTACATCTCCAGAACACTAAATCTTCCCGAAAGAAATTACTCAACTACTGAAAAAGAACTCCTTGCAATCGTATGGGCAGTAAAACTTTTGAGACAATATTTGCTAGGAAGAAATTTTCTCGTAAGAACCGACCATCAAGCTCCAACTTGGCTTGAAAACTGCAAAGACCCCGCATCACGACTGATTAGATGGAGATTACGAAGAATACGATTGCGAAATACAATACCACAAGAGAAAAGATAATATACGGCAACTGACGCACTCACGAGACAAACTATTAACAATTTGACGACTGAAGACGATCTCCTTGACGAATATAACAGATGGGAACAAGACACCGACACATTTCCTAAACTACTATAGATAGTCCCCAACGAAAAATCCTTCTTCCAAATAACAAAAGAAACTTTAGGACCCTACGACAAAAAGAAATGGTTAAAGAAGTTCGTAGAATTAACTACAAAACATAAAAAGTTAGGCATAGGGGACAAAAACTTCGATGAAATCGAAAAGGCGCAAATAAAAACATTTTTGATGTATGTTAACGACAAGATAGAAGAAATAATTTTTGCATACGACTCGATTCAAATTCTAACAGACGAACAAGTTGACGCGATCATAAAAGAAAACCATAACGATGTTTCAAGACACTTAGGTATACGGAAAACATACGCAAAAATCAAAGAACGATTTAAAATCCCACATTTGTTCTCAAAAGTAGAGGAATTTATAAAAAATTGCGTAGCATGTCAAAATCAGAAACTTGTCAGAATCCGCGTGAAAGAAATTTCGGTAATAGCTAAAACCCCCACTGAACCAAACGAAAAAGTAGCAATGGACATAATTGGTCCCATGCCGAAAACTAAACGAGGAAACCAATAATTACTCCCTATTCGTGATAATTTGACCAAATACCTGATATTGACACGTCTCAAGACACGAAGAACTGAATGCATAATAGATGCGTTATTGAATCATTACATTTATATCTTCTCAGCACCTAAAACTATACTAACAGACCAAGGACAGAACTCTATTAGCGAACTCATGACGAAGTTCGAAGAAGCATTTAAAATAAAACATATAAAAACAACCAGCTTTCACCCACAATCTAACGGATCCCTAGAAAGAACACACGCAACGGTAAAAGACATGACACGAACAAGTCTAAACGACTCAGACAAAGAATGAGACGAAGTATTAAACTTCATATGCTGAGGATATAACATAGCAATACACGATGCAACCGGTTTTTCACCTTTCGAACTAACCTTGGGACGAAAAGCTAACTTCCCATCCTCAATATCCAAAACCTCCAACTACACGTATGAAGAAATGTTTACACTATGGCAAAAGCAATTGGACAAATACAAAACAATAGCTAAACGAACACTTCAACAAAGTAGAAACGCTACATGCGAGATCAACAAAGAAAAATCATTAAAACACGAATGGTATTTAAAGAAGGAGACGCAGTTCTTGTACATAATGATCACAAAGCAGATAAATTGAACGATGAATGGTTAGGTCCTTACCACATCGAAAAAGCTATGACTCCTTATTACGAGATTTTAATCAATAACCAAATTAAGAAGATACATAGTAACAGAATTAAACCATACTTTTCAGGACGCTCATTTCATGCACAACCCTCGTGCTCAGATTGGAATTAATACCGATCGAAAATAACGCAATTTTCCACGAGAAAATATCTAGAGCCTATTTGTATAATGAAAAAGTTAACGTATATATAGGAATAGATGTAAGCGATATGTTTAATCACATCGATACGTTAGGAAAACACATAACAGAGACCCAAAAACATTGTACCACCCCATGTCAAGTAGAATTAGAAATACTTTCCTTAACCAACCAGTTCAATAACATCAAACCGCTAGGAACACATTTAAGATTATTAACTCATTCTAGAGTTAAGAGAGGATTGATAGACGCTATAGGTTTAATCAGCATAACACTTTTCGGAACCTTAGATTCTGACGATTTACAATTGATAAACCAGAATATCGGCAAACTATTTAGCGAAGGAAATGAATTAAAAACCATTGTAGCTAACCAAACCGTTCTAATTAGGAGACTCCTAAACACCGACAGCCTAAAACAATTAGAAAAAGTAAACGCGGACATACAAAATAAAATAAATCAAGTAAACAAGGTAGCACTTCTAACAGTCAAGATTATTTCTATAGAAAGCGCTTTGTCAGATCTACACTTTCAACTCGATGAAATATTCAATTTAATTTTACTAGGAAAACAAGGAATTATTAGCCCCGGATCATAAATCATCACATTTTCGTAGAACAATACGCTAAAGCTTTAGGAAATCACATCACGAATAAAGGATTTTCACCAGAAGAAAATTTCCAAAACATTTTAAACGTCTTTACACTCACACTGTCTGTCCAAAGCGAAAAGATCTTCTTTAAAATTTCTATTCCAAGAATAATTGACTCTGAATGGGAAATAGAATAGGTATAACCCATACCGTCTCGAAAGAACGGAGCATTTCTCGCCCCTTAGTCGAACATCCGATATTTTTCACCTTAGGATTAACTTATATGAATGTATTATATGAATGTAGACCAGATGTATTTACAAGCAATGTCGAATCAAACACGAATTGTATATTTGCAAACAAATTCAACCAATACATGATAGACGTTCAAAACACGATTGCGCATCCGAAATAATTAGTGTAAGTTTTGAATTATCAACACCGTTCAAGGCCAAATTTGATCCATCAATTCTGAAGAAACGCAAGAGCTTAGAGGACTAAGTTCACTCTACGAAGGGGAGAGTGTAACGTCACCCAAAAGCCAAACATCTACCGAGCTCAGGATATATCGATTACACTTGGTCATGCGATAACAACGAGAACAGAAAGTAGCCAGACTCCCACCCGTGGGATATGTGAACCATAGTGACGAGGTAAAGATCCCAGTCCTTTAATCAGTGAGTCAGTTTGTGTTCTACAATTGAATTGTAACATTTTCTTATTAATAAAGCATACGAATGTGCTATTGCTCATTCGCCTTTTTTTATATCTCGTTATTTATTACGCGACAAGATCATCGGATTCGTTGAGGAAAGCGTTGGTTCGGAAAGTGAGGGAAATGGACGTCGCTGTTAATTGGCTAGTTTTGTGTTGGTGGTTGGAAAAAGATGTTAACCGCCCTTAAGGGTAAGTTGCTAGCGGAAAGCGTCGTTCGTGAGAAAAGCAGATTTCCATCATCATGTCCGAAGGATAGGGTCTTTGTATAGCGAGCCACAGGACAGAAACCGTTTACTGTCGAGTGTCGCTACATCAATATACTAACTACCGTCGGATTAGGTCTTATCCGCCCTATACGTTTCTCGAATTACATTCCGTATTTACCTACTATTTATGGAACTTTCGCCGAGCCGACTCTATCTTAGTCACCAGTCACGCAGCCCGTGAAATGACGATGCCTGGCCTATATGGCTAGAACTGTCTGTAATCATAATCTAACTCTAACCTAACCCTCCATCACGCAATTTCCCTATAAGCACCACCTAGTGTGACCTATAGTGTCAATTACGAAACATAGCCTCCATCTGACACAAATGTTTATTTAACTCCAACCTAAGCTCTTCACCAGCAGGAGCCCGAGATTCGCAGTTGAAACCAAGACGCTCTTTGGAATATCAACGGTCTAGTTCAACACAAATACGAACTCTTCTTCAACAACAACAAATCGACATAATGCTCTTATCTGTGAGGTGATCGTCGCTGAAGGTGCCCGCAAGAATTACTCTTGATTTTCAACAATAACGTTTATTAAACTCTTGACAATTAACAACAAATAACGATTAACCATGACTAACGATTAACAGCGATTAATAACTGGTAACGATTAAAATTGAACTCTCAAGAGTGGACGACTCGTATCTCTAATTGCGTTTACTTCGCTTAATCTTTCACACTTCGCAGCTCCGGACAGAATGAATCTTTTTGGTTCAAAACCGAACGGATTCTTTCCTTTGTTGCCCCTAGACATCCCCACTACGCGCGCG